GCCAGGCCACGCCCCCAGTGCCGCCATTGCCACGCCCCCAGTGCCGCCATTGCCACGCCCACGCGCTGGCCACGCCTCCTCCCCGCCCTGCCGGCCATGGCCCCTCCGAGCCGCCTCGCGGTGAGTGCGGAGCCCACGCGCCGCGGCCGCCGCCGCCCTCCCCGCGCTCTCGTGCCGTCGCCCTTCACCTTGCGGGCCGCCGCCGCCTCCCGGCGCTCCCCGGTCCCGTGCCGAACCCTCTCTCCTCTCACCTGGGAGCGCGGACGGCGGCTTGGTGCGGGCGGCGCGCCCGGCCGCGCTCGCGGTGCATGACGGGGCGGGGCGCGCGGCGCTTCCGGCGGGCCGCGCGAGGGGAGCGGGAACAAAATGGCGTCGGCCCCGCGGGCGCCCGGCCGAGCTTCGCTGCTCCCGCCGCCTCCCGCCGGGGTGGGGGTGCCGGTGTAGCGGCGAGGGGCTGTATTGCTGCGGTGCCCTCGGCGCCCCGGGAATTCGCACGGTGCGGACCCTGCCGGTGCCCCTGCCGCCCTCCCTGGTGGCCTGGAGTTGGTTCCCGCGGAGCCCTTCTGGATGCTGCCGTCGGGAGCGGACCCGGCCTAAGGCTGCAGCCCCAGCTGCGCTCTGCCTCCCGCTGTTGCTGCGCACTTTGCAGAAGTCCTTGTGTCATCTGTGACACCGATGTGTTAAAAACATAACTCCCCAAGAAAAGCCTGCTTGGAAGGAAAAGCCCCAGCGACTGATTTTCATGGCTTTTTCCGTCATTGCGCACAGTTGACCTCTGCACTTCTTCCCTTGAGCAACAGGAATTACTGCTTTTATTGAAGTGTAATGTTTTTTATTATCCGTGTGAGTTCAGATGGTTGTGAGTCATTTTAAAAGGTGGGGCTCGAACTGAGGGGAGAAGTATTAACCTTCTCAACCTGATGTCACTCTGTGATACATGCTATACCTTGCTTGTGAGGCAAGCTCTTATTTTTTCCTGTTCTGTTGCAGTGGATAAGTAAACCTTCTGACTAAGGTGATTTTTTTCCTGAAAACTATATTTTCTGAGTAACAGATGCTGGTTTAAAATTGAGACAACCAATATTAAATTAACCATGCCAATTGTTATAAATACGTATTACAATATTGACTTTTCACAAATATTAAAATGAATACTATATATGTGTTATGTTATAAAGTTATGCTGTATTAATCTCTTTTAAGTAATGTAGTAAATACAATTTTTAGGCTATAGCATAATACTAAAATAGAAACTATGTGATGTAAGATACTTTTTATAGCTAACTCAAAGAATAGAAAAAATAATCAAGAAATACTTCACATTATCCTATCTATATAAAAATAACAACTGACACCAAGATCCCAAGAAACTAATTACTATCTCCTTATCAGAAAAACTTAGACTTCTAAGAACCAAGAAAATTGATTTTATCATCTCTTATTGTCCTGATTTTCATTACTATTAGACTTCTAAAATTTTAACAAAAGTGTTTTTCACACCAGTGAGTATAGAAATTCAAGTGTTGGAGATGTGAAGTCTCTGACAGAACACTGCTGGCTCTTTGTTTTAGCACCATTAAACGTTCTCCACTCTAAACATTTTTAACTCAGAACCAACTAAAGCCCAGAGAAACTTTGAAATGTCACATTGACTGAGATCACAGTGACTTTTAGCTGAAACCTGTGAGTTTCAGAGTTACATACCTTACCCTGCTTAAATTTCCTGTTTCCACTTGATTGTGCTTTACTTACTTGTGACTTCTCATCAAATTGCTCTTTGATTGAGACACATAATATTTGAGGAGATGTTGCCTTTCTTAATACTTTTAGCACAAGGAGGGGAGGCTGAGATTGAATATTAGAAAGAAATTGTTCTCCTATGAGGATGCCAAGGCTCTGGCACACGTTGCTCACAGAAGCTGTTGCTGCCCCATCAGAGCAACCTGGGATGGTGGAAGGTGCCCCTGCCCATGGCAGGGCATTGGAATGAGCTGAGCTTTAAGGTCTTTGCCAACCCAGTGTGCAAGGAAACACTGAAATAGCTTGGCCTGGGTTAGCACAGCTGTCTTTGTTGTTGCAGTAGGAGGAGGAGCAGGATGGATGTGCTGCGGCCCCCCTTGATAAGGATCGGGGGGCGAGTGTACCGGAAAAATCTCATCCAAGAGCAGGCCTTCCCACATGAGGAGGAGGAGGACTTCTGTGCAGGTAAGGATGCTCAGGAGGTGTAATCATCAACACTGGGGACCTAGGGAGCTCTCAGAGTTGTCTCTGATGCCTTTGTGAGTGCAGAGACCTGCCCATGTGGCAGATCAAGGTCTTCAAGAGAGAGGAAAAGGCAGTCCCAGTTATCCCAAGTGGGTTGGTTGACTGTGCTGCTGACTGTTCAATTTTCCTGCTGATTGTGGAAGAACTCCAGGAAAAGGGAAAACCAGTGTTGCTCTGTAGATCTGTTTTTCCCTGGTTTCTTTCTTTTCCTTACCATCTTTATTTGCAGATATGGAAGCTGCTTGCTAAAGACCCTCTGTCCTTGCAATGTTTGTGCCTTTAAAACTGGCCTTTGGAAGGTGTTACCTACTTTGGGGACCAAATTTTTCCTGTTCTGGTGTGCTTTACTTTGACTTCTTGCCTCCATGTTTGCTGTAGTTATGTGTAAGTTGTGGGCACAGAAAAGCTCCACTGTTAATTTTCAGAAGGGAATGTGGCAGTTTCTCCTCCCACCTTGCCTTTCAGTGGTTGCACTAAGCTTTAACCAGGTGCTTTCTGTTCAAATTCATCCCTGCTTTTGTTGGAAAGGGAATAGGAAGCATGGATTCTTTCAGGGTGTTCTGTTTGATCCGTGCATGACTGAGCAGCCTGAGGATGAAAGGTGCATCTGTTCCTCTGAGCCTGTTTCTGAATCACTGTCTTGAACCCTCCGACCAAAACTCCCCTCACCTTTTATCTATCTTCTTATGCAGCCTTAAATTTCTGAAATTGGCTGCCAGAAGAGACCATTCCCACTGTGTGGGAATTGCACAAACTCCAGCTGAGAAAAGCCGTGGTTTGTAACTACCTGCTTCCTGTGCCTCCCAGCCGGCCGGATTTAGAAGCTGTCATTATGTGTTCTGGGGCTGGTAGTGAGGTGATAAATAAAAAGCAGTTATCCACAGCAGAGAGAAGCTCATTCCTTCCTTCATTTAACCTTGGAAGAAGGCTAGGAGGAGACTGTTGTCATCCATAAAGCACTGCCAAACTTCACAGAGGTTGTGCAGGGTCTGATGTGGTTTTCCCGGTAGGCCCTGGTGACTGTGTGGATGAACCCTGCGATGCCTTTGTGGTGGAGGAGACCGAGCGAGGCTTCCAGTGCCGGCTGGATGTTCCCAGCCCCTTGTACAAGTGAGCCTGTGTGCTTTGGTTTATTTGATGTGCCGCCAGCTGGGAAAGAAGTTGAGCACAGAATATTTATTTTTGGAGGTTGGGGCGAGCACTGGATCCCTGGGATGTACTCTGTGCTCTGGGTTTGAGTGCTAGGGAAGGGGAAATTGGCAAAGCCTTTCTAGTGCAGTTGGGCCTCGCTTGACTCCTCACCGTCCCCGTGGTAGGGACAGCAGGTGGTGCTTGCTGGCTGGCAGGAGAGTCTTTGAACATCTCTTGCCTTGAACATAAAAGCATCGAGGAGGGGGGGAGAAGGAACGGGAGGAAGAACTGGAGCGAGCAGCCTGGTGGGAGAGTTTGTGGGAGCTTTCAGAGAAAGCACACAGGACTGGAATTGGCTGTTGACTCCAGTCCCTTGTTTACTGGAGAACCTGTAGTGTTCAAAGTTTTATCTAGTTATTTTTGACAGTTTTATTAGTTAGATCGTTTTTCTGAAATACAAAGACAGAAAAGTGGTCCATTGTGTATTTGGATGCTGGTAAATGACTACTTTGAGCAAAGCAAAAAGCTGATATAGAGCCCTTCTTATCTCAGCTGGGATAAAGGGAAAAGAGATTAACCCAGCTGACAGAGGCAGAGCTGTTGTGGACCTACCAACTTATTTTAACTTAAATCAGTTTTGAGCCATAGCTCAGCATTGTCCCAGGCTGGACATGTGTGGAGTCCTGGGAATCACCTCTGTGCCTGGATGTGGTCCTGCATGTGGAGCTGGGTGTGTGCATCCCTCCAGCACAGAGGGTCCAGGTCTGGACACACGTGATGGAGCGTGGCTCAGTGTCACTGTGTGAGGGAAACTCTTGCACTTTCTGCCTCCAGGTACATCATTGGGAAGAAAGGGGAGACCAAGAAGAAGCTAGAAACAGAGACTCAAACCTCCATCAGCATTCCCAAACCTGGAGTGGAAGGAGAAATTGGTGAGTAGGGGACACAAAATGGATGTGCTTTTATCTGCTCTTGCACAAGCACAGTTTAAGCAGGGAGGGGGTACTGGAGGTGTTTTCCCTTTAATTCCTACTCCTTACACAGCACTGACTCACTTTTTGGCCCTGGGAAAGTCTTCACTTCACTTTTCTCCTGAGCTTATTTTTATTGTCTGTAAATCCTTATTAAACAGTGTCAGTTGTTTTTTTTTTCTAAGTCACTTCTAGGCCTTTAAATGGCTTGAGAACTTGGGTCCTGAATGCGTTATATTTTTTATTTTAGGTTTGCTTTTAAAATGCTATTTCATCAATAAGAAACTGAAATAAGCATTCAGAGAAGTATCTTGTCTGTCTGTGTGCAAAATAAACATCTGCACGTGCTTTAATATGAGAAGGGTTGAGATGACATTTGTGACTTTCTGGTGCTGTCACTAGATCCAAACAGTGAGAGCAGGGCTTCTTGTACCATATGTTCCCTCTCATCACTTCCAGGGATTTAAAAAGAAAGGAGACCTTGCTCATCAGGGCTGAGCCTTGTGAGTGCTGCCAGAGTGGGTATTTGGAGGGTTCCTTAGGGCATGCTCCAGAGATTACTGGCACAGGGATGTTTGTGGCAGAGCTATGAGGAGGAAATGCTGGGAGGATCACACTGTGATGCTGCACAGGAACATGGTGGTGCTTCTCGAGTGGGTCTTGACTTCTTCCCAAGAACTGTGAAGGACTGTTAGGAAGGTTGAGAGATGTTGAAAACATTGAATAATAGGAAGCCAAGGAGATTTTGATCCTTGCTGTTCTTTCCTTTTGAGCTCAAGTGTTCTCTGTTTGGTGCCTTGAAGTGCATGCACAAATAACACAGTCTTGATCCTTCATAAGATTTCCTTGCCCTTTTCACTCTGCCTATATGAAAACTTGAAATTATGTTCTAGAAATCTGAAGGGTCCCTGAACTGATGGGCTCTCAGTTACTGTTTTTATGCCCT